CGCATTTGAAGTAAATTTTGATCTAATACTTACTATAAACTGATTTAATATAAAAAAATTGTGATATTTAAATGCATGGTCGGTTATACTCGTACGTCGCCATATAACCGTCTCTTTTCCTCGCGGTCCGTGCCTGCTATATTGCTAACAGCGCGTTCAGAATTGCGCGTAGAGTCAAAGAACTAAGGTCTAAATTCTTCCGCATATAGCAATAAATCGTAAAATTTTAAGAGCTTGCATTTCAAACTGCAGAAGTCCTTGACGCATGCGTTTTATTTAAGACCTTATACAGTATGTATCAAAGGTTACTTTCAATATTTAAATAATGCCTTATAGTGATTTTGACTACGCGATCATCTTACGGAGCTCCGTGGATCATTCAATGTACCTTTTGGACAGGTTTCGGGCACTATTTTGTTCGTGTTGGTGTATCTAGGGTATTTAATATCGTTGAATGACGCGCGTGATACTCTGGTTGCAGACATTGCAGAAAAAAAAATTTCGTATTGAGTTGCGGAACGATACAAAGCGTGTTCACTCACGAACTGTCTGCATGACACCAAGAATATCTCGTCGTGGCCTGGCCGCATTCGCGGTCGCAGATCTAGTGCGGAAACGCTCATAGCAAATTATACGTAAGTTGGCGGGAATGACCAATCGTGCCGACCCGGTATGCGGACAGTTGGTTCGTATGGTTTCGATTGTTAATCTGGTCGTTGCGGCCACTGGCCGTCTAGTGCGCGAGGCACCTACGTAAGTTAGCCTCAACGACCAGTTGTGCCGGCCCGGTGTAAGGCCAGTTGGCCGCTGCGGTAAAGTGCATGCGCGATGTTGATATGGTTCCTTTAGTAACTCTGGTCATTGCGACAGCTGTTCGTGGCCATCTAGTGCCTAATTTTTTATCCACCCATCCAATGACCGGCTACTGCTTAGTGGCAGACGGAACAGGCTAACCACCTGCGTCATCAAGGTCCTCTAAGCAGCTGTATCTACCTATATTCATTGATTGAGAATGGAGTAATCTGTGCGTGTATCGAAATGGTTTCCAGTTACCATGGCACCGTGACCTTCCCAGGTTTCATCCCGCGCAGTTTGTCGGGTATCCGGGTCGCAGCCCTGACCCGCGTGGGTGGTTTCAAAGCATCGTTTCCCAGTAACAGATATTTTAATTTTAGCACCTACACGAAAATTTAACGTGCGTACGACTATGCCTTCCGTCCGGGGTTAAAATAGAATATGATGTGAAATAATTGCTCTGTTAAATTCTGAGTGTTGTGTTTTTAAAGACTGTTTTTTGTCAATGTTTATTTATTATGTATTCATGAGATTCTCCGTCCATAATATTATAAGTCTCTGTGCAGAAAGTTGACAAAGAGCTGGTAATATACTAAGTAGGTTTACAACCAACAACCTTTGTTAAGTAGGTAAGTACTTATTTAAAGTTTAGAAAATATGTTTTATTACGCAAAAGTCAAATCTCTTTTTACCAATCTCGTATCTGACTCTTGTATTTGCGCGTAGTATCAAGCACAATACTTGAAGAGAGGCGGGATAAACTATTATTAAAACTTTTTTATATCTGGAAAAGGCGTTACGCTTCCCTAAACCACCGCAGGGTACCTATCCGAAGACTCCTCCCCGCTCATTTCACCCAGGTCAGTGGCTCGGTGAAATGAGCATGGTCCTCTACCCAACGCGGAAGAATCCCTAAACGGGGATCCCGCGATTTCGCATTAAGCAGCTTAGAGGGTATTCGCAGGGTTTTTAGCGGATATTATGCCGTAAAGCGCCCGTAAGAGTTACGGGGTCCTCTGTGGGCAGCCACTGTGAGGGCTCGTAAGTTTTGCGGGAGTCAGGTGTGAGGTCCGTTTGACGGTGTGCCTCTTAAAGGCGCCGTCGTCTGTAAACAGAGTTTTTGCCTGCATCACAAAATAAAGGGTCCTCTACTGAGAAAAAACCAAAGAAACTCCTACCCTAGTCACCCGGCCCGCATTCCAAGGACCGCAGTTCCCCTAATGCGCGTCGGGAATGCCGGCGATGTTGCGGCACCTGATATTATACTGGCCACGCAATCATTAAAAGTTACAATTTAGTCTTTGTCTTGATAACTAATAGGTAAAGCAGTTTTTCTTTATGGTGAGAATATCATGTGTTACGCTTATAAGGAACTAGCGGCCCGCTCTCGCTTCGCTTCGGTGTAGAGCTGAAGTGTAGACTACAGTTTTTGTTCTCAGGCTTGTATTATACACAATGACATTCAGCTATGATTCATCTTATACCTGCATGCAAAGTCTCAGCCCGATCGGTTTAAAATTGACAAAGTTTCATACAAACTTTTATTCCCTATTTTATCCCCTTGGGGGTAGAATTGATCAAAATCCTTTCCTAGCGGATGCCTACGTCATTACATCTACCTGCATGCCAAATTTCAGCCCGATCCGTGAAGTGGTTTGGGCTGTGCGTTGATAGATCACTATGTCAGTCAGTCAGTCACCTTTGAGTTTTATATAAATAGATAGATTACACTTAAAGGTTTCTTTTTATTTTTTTTTATAAAGATAGGTCCGACAAATAACTCCACCACACCCGATGTTAAGTGACGGTGAAGTCTAGACGTGAAGATAGCTGGTACAGCAGTTCTACCTGCGACACCAGCCATCCTCACTTAGCCGGCCTGCATATTGCTTCTTCACGCCTCTTTTAAAGGATCCCAGGTTGTAAGAAGGAGGGAACACTTGAGCAGGCAGAGCATTCCATTTACGGATAGTGCGACAAAGAAACAAGTCACCAAATTTCTTTGTACGCGTAGGAATTGTGGCCACAATTAGACGGTGACAACGTAGGCCAGCGCTCGTGGTCCTCTGAAGAAATGGGAAAGGTGGGATAAGAGAGAGAACCTCCTCAGAACACTCGCCGTAGTACAGACGATAGAACGTGCTTAGTGACGCCAGGTCACAACGTAATTGAAGAGGCTCAAGGTGTTTAGTCACCTCCTCATCGCCTATGATTCGGATCGCGCGCCGCTGTAACCTATCCAAAGCATCGAGCAAGTACTTGCCGTAGCCATCCCAGAGGTGCGAGCAATATTCCACGCAGGACCGCACTTGCGTTTTGTGCAAGAAGCACAGTTGATCGGGTGTGAAAACCATTATAAGATATTAGAAACAGCTACGAAATAAAGCTGCCAGAATCATCAGCGCTGCAGCAGCCCTCGTGGTGGTGTAGTATTAAGCTGAGGCAAGGACCTAATTGGCCTATTTTGGCTTGTTTTATTTATGTTAATATGACTATGTTTAAGGCTAATAAAATTTATTTCTTACTTTTCTTCTCTTCTTTGTAAATAAATAACTTAAGGCTTAAGGGACGTGGAAAGCGTGGTATCTGCTGCCTGTACCCGTGGAAAACGTGTTGTCCGCCGTTAACGTCGTAATAAAATCCACAGGCGTTTGCCGATAACTTTTAAATAGACTTAATCAGCGAGTTGTAAACAAAAATGCTTTTATTTTATAAATGTGCTTTATAAAATAAGCTGAAATTTTCATTACTATAGCTATTAGCTATTAAATTTGAAAACGGGTTGGTTGCTACGTCTTATTGTCCAGCTTCAATTGAATTGAATAAGATTATTTCGCAATGCGTTAAATCGTGGACAATTAAGTGTTCATAGGGTGCGGCCAGAGTGCACTCAGATTCAGATTCCGAAAACAAGCGCGAGAAATAAACAGTGTGGCCTAAGCAGGTTGCCTGCTTTTTCTCGCGATTTGTTTTCTGAGTCTGAATCTGAATCAGGAGTGCACTCTGGCCGTACCCTTCGACTACACTGTTCATTTCTCGCGCTTGTTTTCGGAATCTGAATCTGAATCTGAGTGCACTCTGGCCGTACCCATATGCTATACTAGCGGCCCGCCCTCGCTTCGCTTCGGTGTAGAGCTGAAGTGTAGACTACAGTTTTTGTTCTCAGGCTTGTATTATACACAATGACAATCACCTATGATTCTTCTTATACCTATTCTTCTTATATCCATGCAAAGTCTCAGCCCGATCGGTTTAAAATTGACAAAGTTTTATACAAACTTTCATTCCCTATTTTATCCTTTTGGGGGTAGAATTAATCAAAATCCTTTCTTAGCGGATGTCTAGGTCATAACATCTGCCTGCATGCCAAATTTCAGCCCGATCCGTCCAGTGGTTTGGGCTGTGCGTTGATAGATCACTATGTCAGTCAGTCACCTTTGAGTTTTATATATATAGATTACAAAACATCCCCAGGACAGTAGCGTCTGCGTGTAAAAATGATCCCTATTTTCGTCGACCCAGGGCTTGTTTTATGCTTTCTTCGCGGTTCTAAATTTTTTTTTTAAATATACTAATACAAAATAAAAATCATTTAAAGGTTCTAGATAGTTTAAGCGTCTTGCATTATATAGTTTTAGTTGTTAAATGTCTGTCCGTATTAAACCAAATTTACATACAAAAGGGGCATTGCCCTTTCAGGAAAATTCCCATGATAATATGGTAAACGAATCCCCTAGTATCATATATCGGATAACTGTGCACTGATTTGTTAGTTCACCTTTCCTGAGAGCTCATCCAGTATTCCAGTCATTTAGCGCTTCAATTCACATCTCCAATGAATTGTGAAACTTTGTCAAAGTGGAGATTGGCATATTTACGTAACGAGTACACAGATCACTTACTTACAACATAATTAAAGGCACATATTTAAATTATCATCAAATAAATAGTAATTGATCCTCAGAAAATACAATTTTATTGGTAACCAAACCTTTAGTGTCGCCGCACACAGGCCACCGACCACAACCACAAAACGCCACCACCGGCATATTTCTTGTAGTTTTAGTGAAAAAATGCGGAGGGAAATTCAAAATAGGTATTTTTTGTGGTATTTTTACTTTCAAATAAACGAAGTTTTCAAAATTATTACAAGTGGCCAGCGTCTTATATATAAAAACTTTTTTTCGCAAAACTTTCTGACTGACCTGGCCTCGCGGATGGCGTCCACCCAGTGCACGCAGTCCACCTCGGAGGCGGCCCGCAGCTCGTACTGCCGCTGACTCTCGCGTCGGTAGGAGATTATGAAGCAAAACTACGACAAACTCACAGCAATTAAGGAAATAAGAAAGAACATTTCTCACATAAAATAGTACACAAATCTCTATCTAATTACATAATTACTCTATATATAAATACTAGAACAATAAAACTAAAAAATAAAATTAATAACTAAAATATATTATTAAAAGGAGTCCCTTTAGGCAAGGATCCGAAGATACTGGCAGCGTTACCCCTTTGAATGGCTAAACTAATTCTTTGTCCGAGGTAGCTGCCAGCTCTTCGGTCTCCTGTGATGTCGACTAACCTTTTTGCTATTTCCTTAAATAGCCTTAAAGCGCTAGGACCCCACGGACCAAGGGTCTCGACACCGAATGGGACAAAATCATATTCGGAGCCTAGACCCCTGTATTGATAAGAAATGTGACACTAACCAAAAAAGATATTTTTACAGTAGAAGCATTTAAAGTTTTACCAAACAATAATTACAACTTTTGCAATGCGTGCGTGTTTTATACTCTCTGTAATAGAAATCATAACATGATATTGATTTTTTATTTTTCTGGTGCATAAGTCGTAATTACTGTTTGGTAAAACTTTTAATGCTTCTACTGAAAAAATAGCTTTTTTGGTTAGTGTCACTCATCTTATCAATGTGCGATTTGATTTCGTACAAAATATTTACAAACAAGTATTATGACGGACTTTTTGACGGGATCGCGAAGCGTCACTTTAGCAGTTTTGTAGTTCTTGTTAAAAATTGTGTTGTGGCGGATGTTAGTGTCTAATAATGGTGGATTATTAACCACTAAGTGTAGGGGAACATGCACAAGTCTTGGTAAGTGAAACAAAATAGCGGAAAGTGTCTTTCGACGTTCCCTCAAGAAGTCCACGGAGAGGTTCCAGTGAATCCCCACACTTTTACTGAAACATAGGGAAAGGGGGATTGACTTGACTGCTACTTACTTTGACAAAGAGTGCTATATTTTTGTAAACATTTTAACACTTGACATTGGCTAAATGCACAAGCCTTGCGAAGCCATTTAGAAAAAATAAAGTATTATGACCCACCAGCCCCTCTATACAGGGTGTTACAAAAATACAAATAAAGCTTGAAGGGCGTTGAAGTACATCATATAAGGATTCTTCTCTATAATTCTTAAAATATTTGCATGACGTTTTAACTTTTTATAAAAACAGTTATTTTTAATGATTAATAAAAATCATTAAAAAATCTCACTAGTTCGAGGATCATTAAAAATAACTGTTTTTATAAAAAGTTAAAACGTCATGCAAATATTTTAAGAATTATAGAGAAGACTCCTTATATGATGTACTTCAACGCCCTTTAAGCTTTATTTGTATTTTTGTAACACCCTGTATAGCACGTAAACTAAATGTTAATTTTGACTTTTCAAACACCAGTTTTCACCCAAAAGCCAAAAGCGTGCCAAAAGAAGTTTCTCTTAAAAAATCTATCAATTGGCTCTTTTTCCCAATCCAGAACAAGCGGAAGAACATATTATTTATCGAAAGGACGCTATAAAAATTGAAATGTAACAATTCGTAACAAAGTCACAGTTGTGACGCTCTGATGAACGAACAAAAACAATAAAATGCCATAATGACTCGGCATGAAACTTGCCAACGATGATTGCGTAAGTTTACCAAAGTTACCGAGGATAATACCGATTACGTAATTTCCGTTTTCATTCGTTCCATGAAAGCGGGAAGGGGCAAAGCGGAACAGCCCAAGCCCCGAACTTCTGACTCACAGTTTGACTATTACTTTTAGAATGGAGAGTTTTAATTAATTATTACTAAAGTATAGCTTACAGAGAAAACAAAACAAGCAATAATTACAAGTTTGCATTGAGCCATAAAACTCTCGACTCGTGATGGCAGAAACGAAATATTTCCAAAAACAAAAAAGTTTTCATAGTAAAACTTCCAGTTTAGATTGTTTGGAATCAATTGATTTTTTTTTTCAAGAAATCCTTTCGTTTGTATTTCCTGGACTTTAGTGCGGGCCACCGACTACAACCACAAAACGCCGCCACCGGCATATTTACGGCCTTGTAGTTTTCATACATTTTATATGGACTCGCCACACACGGTACGCTGGTGGCCGCCACACGCTACAAATCGTTGTTGCTCGCTTCTTGTGGTCCGCACCGGCCACTTAATGCGCCGATGCAAAACGCCGCCACGAGACACTCGCGCGATTCCCCACCCCTCTCTCCCTTGCCTTAGTCGGCCGCTGTCGCGCGCTTCAGCCACTTTAGTAGCCGCTTCTAGCTTCTCGTGGCGGCGTTTGTGGCTGTGGCGTGTGGTCCGTGTGCGGTGACACTTAAAGTTAATAGTGCTTAAGAGAACTAAGAATCGGATTCAAACAACGTGTTCCCTTTTAAAAGGTCTGCACCTTGCAAGGTTGGTATTGGTGACACTTCTGGTGTAGCTATCCATGGGTGCCTTTTATTTAACTTTTTATGCCAGTTATATGTATACATTCGTTGAAACACCCCGAGACAGGGCGAAACCAAATGTGTACCTACCTACATTTTCCTCTCGTTTCGTCTCGGTCACCCGAACCTCGTCTCGTGGGTTCGAGTCGACTGTCGGATTTTACGTCCAAGTCCAAAATCTCGTTGGGTCTCGCTAGGAAAATGAGAGCAAGCATGTACACACTCGTCGAGTGCCTTCTCGGGCTAGACTCGAGAGGCTATCGGCGAGTGTGTAGAGCCGGTATTAAACCTAAATTATTGGTCTTACCGAAGCGTTTTTCTTCATGGGCGTCTTGCTGAGCCGCTTGCAGTACGAGGCCTTCAGTAGGAGTACCCCGGCCGGCCTAGCCTCGTGTTGTTCTCGACTAGTACTAGAACACGAGGTTCTACGAGGACAAGCAGCCATTACTCACCAAGGTCTCACCGAAGAGTTCCTCTCCATGGGCGCCTTGCTGAGCCACTTGCAGTACGAGCCTTCCAGCACCCCGTTCAGCCGAGTATTGTTCTTGACTCGTACTAGAACAGGAACTTCTACAAGGACACGTAGCAATCACTAAATAAGGTCTCATCGGAACGTTCCTTTCCATGGGCGCCTTGCTGAGCCGCTCGCAGTACGAGCCCTCCAGCACCTCGGTCAGCCTCGTGTTGTTCTCGACTCGTACTAGAACAGGAAGTTCTACGAGGACACGCATCCATTACTTAATAAGGTCTCACCGAAGCGTTCCTCTCCATGGGCGCCTTGCTGAGCCGCTCGCAGTACGAGCCCTCCAGCACCCCGGTCAACCTCGTGTTGTTCTCAACTCGTACTAGAACAGAAAGTTCTACGAGGACACGCATCCATCACTTAATAAGGTCTCACCGAAGCGTTCCTCTCCATGGGCGCCTTGCTGAGCCGCTCGCAGTAGGAGCCCTCCAGCATCAGCACCCCGGTCGGCCGCGTGTTGTTCTCCGACTCGTAGTAGAACAGCAGATTCTAAGGAGACAAGAAGGAATGTGGCATATTTACTACGAGGCATACTCCTTTGTTATGCACACCAGCCATTCATTATTTAAAATTTAAATACATTGAACATTACAAATAGCAAAATTAAGTCATTATGCAAAAATCAAAATAAACGACTTTTGGTATTTTATTAATAACTTACTAAAAAGGCAAATTTAAAAAATTACAAAACCAGACTGATTAACGTTAATCGGGGTGAGTTTTTGTTTTTACATACTTAAAAACACTATCCCCCCGTCTGCGCGTCGTCGTCGCTCTTAAATTGCGCAGTCGAGTAAAAAGTGTTAATACAAAAGTTGTAGATCTTATGATTATACAAACTATCAATTTTTTTTCGTTAAGAGTTGTACTTTTGTCGAATATCGCGATAAACCCATTTTCCCCTTTTAAATGATCGAGAATCGTGACAACACTTCATGGTGACGACGCATTTGCATTTTCTGAGCAATATTTTCCATAGTACTAATGTATAAAAAGTCGGTTATTTCCATTTTTCGCATATATTTTTAGATTAAGTGAAAAAAGTTGTAGATCTTTTAAATACCTAACTATAATTTTGCAATTGAAAATTCGATGTAGTTTTAACGAAAATCGTGATAAACCGTTTTCGCTCTTCCCCCTCGTCCCGACCTCAAATCGCCCGCAATTTACTTTTCCCCTTTTTTGTGTGTTCTCGTCCTTTTGGTACGGGTTACACCATGTATTAGAACATGAGGGATTTATCAATTTTGTCTAAACTTCGATAGTGAAATAACATACATGCCTGATTGGTGTTGTAACAGAAACCGAGTGAAGAAAATTTATAATTATTTAACGACTTAAATTAACCTCTAAACTAATAAAAAAGTTAAAAAATTACTACCTGGTACAGAATGAACCAGCGCAGCTGCCACTTGGTGTTGTCCGAGCTACGTTTGTGCAGGTAGCCCGCCTGGAATCACAGCTTAAATTAGGTATTGCCAACAAGTTTACTAAAACACTATTTTTTTGTGTGAAAAGTAAAGTATGACACACAACATTATGGTGCGCCCAGTTTGATTTTACGAAAGGTCTTCACTAGGTACTTAGAAAGGAATTGTATTGTTTTTTGCCCTCAATCGTTAGCATCAACGGTTCATTAACTTTAACTCCTCCGTGAAGCCGTTGGTCCTGGCTGCATCTATAGTCGTTAGCACCCACCAATGCCGCAGTAACAGTTGGGCGGGAGAAGAGGATATATATATATGGAAAGCCAATGGAGGACGATGGTAGGTATCCTTGCCTCCTGGAAGGCTGCCGCCTTCTTCTACGAATCAGTGATGGGGCAGAAGGAGGCCGCGGAGAGGGAGCGGGAGGAGGACCCTCCGAGGCCGAAGAAGGCAGGCAGCCGTGACTGCCGGTCTTCGTCGGTCCTAAGGTGGTCTGGGCGCGGCTTGGCCGCCGCGTGCCCTAGGTGCCATTCGGCATAGGCCACCCCGAGGCGTATCGCCCGGTCCACTCGTTGGGCCGGGCCGGCCTGGGGGCATCCCGGTGAAATGGTGCACACAGGCGCCGATCCCGAGACGCTCCCCTCAAGGGCGTAGGAGGGTACCGGTGGTTTTTAGTGGGTAGGACCGGTGCTGTTCTTTTAGGTATCCTTGCCTGCGAGTGGTCGTATTGTGCGCGGTCGGAAAGCGCAGTCAGCTGGCCGTCGTTGATGCGTACGCCGCGCTGGATCTTCGGGCTCAGCATCCTGCCGCCGCGGCCTCAATGCACCCTTCCTACATAAAAAACGGATGGATAGAGTGCGATTCAAACTGCATGGCCACTGTTAGCGTGAGTCGCCAACCAATTAGTCAATATTCCACTACAACCGAGCCAACAAGCCTATAGTCCAAGTAAGTCGATAGAATCTGCACTACACGCAGTCGTAAGTAAAATAGAGGATAGTCTCGGACGGAAGGAGCTATGTTTGGGCACCTTTATAGACATAGAAGACGCGTTTGACAAAACAAGTTTCGCCAGCATTGTAGACGCACTCGGCAAACACGGAGTAGATGAGACCATCATATACTGGGTAAGCAACATGCTCCGTAACAGACTAATCAGACTACAGGACGGCAACCATCTCAGGGCATTGGCGTAACTGTAAGTTATCCAATATTTGTAATGACAAAGACTGACCTTACAATGGATTAAAGGACACAGCGGCTCAAGGGGTAACGATGCGGCGGATTGCTTAGCTAGGGAAGGGTCCAGCAGGACGGCCATTGGCCCGGAGCCAATTGTACCCATACCTTATCGACAGCTGAGAACCTGGATAAGGTAGCGCTATCAACGACAACATGACGAATATTGGACAAAACTCACAGACTGCAGGCAAGCTAGGGAAGCCGTTCCTAAGGTAAACCAGCAGCTATCGCGTAAGTTAATCAGACTACCTAGACAAGCCCTAAAAGGAATCGTGGGTATACTCGCGGGTTACGGCTACTTCAACAAACACCTTTATAATATAGGTATTTCTGACAGCCCTCTGTGCAGAGCCTGCCTGGAGGAGGAGGAGACCATGTTCTGCTGGACTGCAGAGGCGTTACAAGACAAAGGACTTCTCTAATGGGAAGCCCGCGGACACTAGTAGAAGCCTGCAGCAACATCCGGGGACTGCTGAGCTTTCTGAAAGAGCTAGGATGGCAGGACTGATGCCAGTCCCCCCGCAAAATAGGCACTGGGTGTCGAGTTGCAGAAACAGCCCGCCGTACTACTAAGACTAAGACTAGCGTGAGTCGCGATGCAGTAGTTATACCAAATAAAGATAATCACTGAACACAAACACAAAATTCGTGGTATAGTGTTGACTTTTTTTACTGCCCTAGAAGTTCGGACCTACATAGAGAGCTCAGGAATGATAGGAGTACTTCACAAGCTACAAAGTTGTCCGCCATTTGATATTCTGCCGTGCTCGAATAATTCCAAAAATCCTCGCTTACATACAGGCCCGATTTGGTAACACGCGTTGCGATACGATTACTTTAATTTGGTTACCAAGTCGACAACCAAGTTAAACCAAGAATATTTACGTTTGTCAAAACTCTCATACAAAGTTAAAAGGAACAGCTGAAGCATTATGAGGAGAACTCCTCAATATTAACGTCCCTGAATCTACAAAAGCAATGTTTTGTAAAAGATGGATAGCAATGTAATTCTATACAGCCTCAGTTAAATCCTATTAAAAATATTTTACACTTCTTCTAGAATACTTAACAAACAATGCAATAATATATTGTTAAAAAAACTTATATATTATTTATAAAAAAAAAAAAACATTATTCTGAAAAAAAAAAGAATGAAAAATATACTTAGGTCAGTTGATTTATTTTCTAAATTTGTTTTTTTCTTTGAAAAATACGATAATATTTTATTAAGGTGTATTATGTCTGGATAACGCATATTGCTTTAAAAAACTAACATTCTTCAAATGCGTTCATACTTCAAAAACATACACAAGCCAAACGGGGAATTCGAGAATTTTTCGTCGCGTCGTGAGTGTCTTGATTGATAATTGTAAATAAAAAAATGGTGGTAGGTTAAAAGATAAACTGGTAACTTTAATACAAACTAATAAGCACACATCTTAACGGAAGCTTCATTAATAATTTAGAATCTGTACTGAAATGTATGAAAAAAATTAAGTAGGTACTCCAGAAAATAACATGTTTTTTTCATGATATTTTTATTTTTTAAACATTTAGAGTTAAATGTATTTTTAAATCTAAAGAAAATTTTATAAAAAAAATCCACGCGGTCTAAAAACGGCCATTAGGGTCGCGGTAGTATAATGGTCAGTACATCCGCCCGGATAGCGGGGAGTGCAGATTCTAGTCCCGTCTGCTGCCTTGTCCGCGTGGATGTTTTTCAAGTAAAATTTTCAACGTTTTTCTTCAATGCTTCTCCTCACGATAAAAAAAAAACTGTATTTTTTGCATCTCTACATAGGCCTAGTCACTCTCAACTTCCTATTACAAGTCAGCATTTTCTTGGTAACTTTACCTGCCGTGTAATCCGAGCAGGGTTAACCGCGAACTAATGAACAGCTGCGATTTCATAAACGTTCAGTAATTAGTTTTAAGTAATCTGGTTCATGCAGGTCAAGCTAATTATTTACCTAGGCCCTCTTGCAAGAATTTTGTTAAAGCTCAATTGAACCAAAACTAGATTTATCCCGTACAATGATGTCAAATTGACATTTTGTCATTTTTGTATGGATTACGTCTACGTTTTGTTGAATAAAGATTTACCAAAACTGCAAGTGGGCTCTAGATATACTGTCCACAACATCTTCTGCATAATAAGGTATTTGACAAGTTTTAAAAAACGATCTCACGTTATTGACTAATGTTTATGGAGTCCGTAAAAAGTGGATATTCATCATTCTATTGTATATTTCAGTAAAAATAACCAAATCAAAAACTCCATTTTCAAGTTGCCGCGAAAACGTTTCTCTGGACAATATGGCGTCTTACTAGTGTGTGACGTCACACGACTGTTATTAAAACGTCAAACGATACAATGTAATGTCACTTTAACAGGAATTTACTTGCGCCTGAGGTCATTTTAGGCTCCGCCAATCCCAAGCGTTTTGGGTCACGTGACAATAGATAAGAAAACTATTATCTTTTTCGTGAGTTTTTAGTAAAATTATGATTCATTCTAAACACAGATGCTAACAATTGGCACTTTATTATTAATATTGTCATATACCCTATTATTAAATCCTTATATCCTTCTTATATCCCTTAAAGCCGTATCTCTATATTATGTTATATCAGGGGTGTTACGGATATTCGAATCCGCATCCACAAAATGCGGAATATTCGCATTATTGGAACGAAAATTCCTTACGGCAGGCTTGGAGGGGATAAGGATTTTGCTGCGCGACCGAACTGAAAAAAATGTGATAGTAAAACCGTAAGAAAAAATCCGTGGAAAAAAGTGCGTGGAATAAAACCGTTAAATGAGACGTGCGCAGGCGCGATTGTCGCATACACAAGCGAGTTTACAATTTGTGTCGATTCTACATTAGCCGAAGGAACTTCGTTCCTACCTGGTGTCCCAAGACACCACATCATTTTTTCAGACATCATCCGCACGATCATCTGCATCAATTGATGAGAAGCTTTTACGGATGCAGAGTCATATCAACAAGTAATGTCGTCTGAAGAAAGTGGGCGCAGCCAGTGTGGCACGTGCGTATAATGGTATTAGGTATAAATCGCGGCACGAAACTCTAGCGCTGACCATTATTGCAAAGAAGTAAAAATTAAGAAGTCTTGGGGGGAAACGAGGTGCGCGGGTAGGCGTGCGTTGCGCCGATTGGCTATCCAGTCGTACGTTTTGTTCAGCACTAGAGTCATGTGCCGCGAGCTGTATCTAAATAACGCTAAAAATGTATTAGCTTAATTAAAAAAAAATATGATCAAATAAACATTGAAATTAAATTATTTTACATTTATGTATGAACTTAAAATTAAAATATTTTTTTTTATATTAAACTAGAACTGTAAATCTCTAATAATCCGCAATTCCGCATTCGTATCCGCATCCGCGAGTTTCAAAATTTTTACATTCCCAAAAAACCTGCTATCTATATATATATATCTTATTCATCTAAATTGATTCAGCTTTTTGACACCATTCCCATACTGCCGTCCTCAAACTAAAGTGCGGCTAAGTGGTATGCGCTCGATTTCTCAGTATTAAATTGCATCTTATACGGTTTTTAATTCTCTGTCGATCTGTCTTTAACAAGTATTCGTATCTTTTATAGTTTAAGTCTAAAAATCCTTCATTTGAAGAATGGTTGCAGAATAGCGACCGACGATGACGACCTCCGTGGCCGAGTGGTTTGTACGCCGGGTTTCATGGTGTCGCCGACTCGAGAGGTCCCGGGTTTTCGAAACCCGGTGGGGGCAGATGTTTGTGTGATGAATACGAGCATTTGTACTCAAGTCATGGATGTTTAATATGTATTTATATAAATATACTTATATATGTACAGTATATGTATTCTATCCGTTACCCTAGCATCCCATAACACAAGCCTTATATAGTGCTTACTTTGGGGCTAGGCTAGGTGTGAGTGTCGGAAATATTTATTTATTATTATTATTATTTATAGCAATAATTTAAAGTTCACACGCAGTTTTTAGGCCATATCTCAAAACTTGGTTTTGTCATTTAGCCGCGTTTTAGCTTGAGGACGGCAGCATACTAGTAGTAAAGTCGTAGTAATATTACCAATGGATACGTTTTTACAAGAAGCTATATTAGGTAATCTTATAAGTTGCATTAGTTCAATGTTTGTAAACAAAGCGAGGCGAGGGGTAAAGTAAAGACTTTTTCCAAGTTTACCTTGGCCCTAATCAGGGACACAGACCCGTGACCCGACAGACACTGAACCAACCTTTCCTAAGAACACACTACTAAGGTTTGATTTAGGAATTATTTACTTAAAGCATAAACATTGCTTTCAATGACGAACGTTTAGGTAATTTAAAAAAAATACTCGCCCATAGTACTTGACGTATATATTTTTTAGGTCTGTGAATGTATACGAGGTCTATAAAAAAAGTAAAGGTACTCACCTGATTATGAATTCAATGACTTTACTTTAGAATTTAAATGATTCTAAACTTATTACTTAGAAATTTAAAACAATCGAAATCATATTTATTCCTTGTAAAGTGATTAGATATATCATTCACGTACTATAAATAATAGCGGAGTAGAAGATAAAATGAAGATATCGAGTTTAAATAAAATATATAATATGATAACACAACAGAAGAAAGACAGACAGACAAGACAAGTAGAGTGGCATTGTAATGAAAACATTCAAAAATATAAAGGTTGACAGAGCGTTTCTGTTAGGTACACCATGTAGGTTTAACATTAAATACCAATATTTAATAATTATCTACATATTTATTTATTATTATTTAAAAAAAACATTATCTAGGTACTCACTGTTTACTTTAACATAATCAGAGTTCTCAATTGAGTTTTCATTGAGCACAAGATCACTGATTTGGATTACTCATTAAAGTCATCTATAACACGCTTACGCATCGTTTATCAACAATCCATTGTTAGGAACACACTACAAAACTTATTTTATGAACAGACAACACGTTTAAATATACCAACAGTAAAAATAGATTTTAGGAAAACCGTTAAAATTCAACGTTACTTAAATATTATTTACATAGCCGAAAGCACTAACTAATTTACGCGCCTGTTGAATTTGTAAACGCAATACGAGTTTCAGCAGACAAAGTTCTGCTTCGGTAGGCGCTGTGATTTTAAGACATGCGTGACACAACTGTTGGAAATGTTTCAACCGATGTTAATATCGCGTCCTTCAGTCATAATTTGCATTGATATGAGATTATTTTTGCATGTGCGTGAGAGATGTGTGTTCCTCGTCTGAGGGAGACTGTGCGACTGCCGGGTCGGCACCTGTAGCTGAATCGACCGTTGCGCGCGTGCGTGCCCTTGATGACGTACGAAATTAGCCATAGAGCTTTGAAGGGTAAAAGCGTTTGATGCATTTATGAACCTTTACTGAAAGTTTAAGATTAACCGTGAACTACAGGGCTTTTTGGAGCAGCAGATTCCAAGGCTGATTGATGCCTTTCATCATCATCATCAGCCTATTAATGTCCCCACTGCTGGGGCACAGGCCTTCCCTATGGATGGAATAGGAAGATTGGGCCATGACCCACCACGCGGGCCCAGTGCGGATTGGTGGGTGCTAACGACTGCAAATGCAGCCGGGACCAACGGCTTAACGTGCCTTCCGAAGCACGGAGGAGCTCGAGATAGTAAATTTTTGGTCACCCATCCAATGACCGACCACTGCGAAAGTTGCTTAACTTCAACGATCGCAGCCGAACGCGCTAGCCACCTGCGCCATCGAGCTCCTCATTGATGCCTTTCCTCACACAAAATTGGCACTTTTCCGGAAACAGCCCGCCGCCGCCGCGCCGGCGCTATACAACTACTACAAGGTACTACGCTAATTTTAAGATTAAAAGCAAAATTAATATCAGCAATAATTTTTTGAAGACAAACCTATACCTACTTATTTCTCAATTGACTTTTACCGACTAGATTGCTTTTTATGCAGAAGATTTAACGGTTGCTGCTTTTTAAGAGATATTCTGATATACAAACTATTATAGGTATTAATTATCCTAAGTTTGCGTTAAAATAATAGAGCCACAGTTTTTAGGTTGCGGTAGAAATTTAAAGAAAACCTCCACTTCTTTGCATTATTATCTCATCTCTTCAGCTCTAATGAGAGCCAATAATGTCTATTTAAGCATCATTTGATGGCTTATAGAAATACTTGCAAATTGATTGACTTACTTTTAAGTTTATGCTGATAAGAATGGAAATTATTAGTTTTATTTTTTTAAGCACAATTTCTTTTTGCTACAAGTTTAAATCTAAATTAAAGTTATAAAAAATTAAAAAAAATCCGCGCGGACCAGGCAGCATACATGACTAGACCCCTCACCCTTCGCTATCCGGGCCAATGCACTGACCAATATGCTCCCGGGGCCCTGATGACCTGACGAAAATTATTAACAAAAAATCTGGTTAGTGCGAATCGGACTCGCCTATCGAAGGTTCCGTGCAAGTTTGTAGCTACGCAACATAAACGGCCGTATCTTATTTTTTTATATAACTTAAATTTTTGTTTATTTTTCACAGCCTTTAAAAACTCTATGCCAGAGTATATTATGGTAAAATTTTCATCTCGATAGAAATTAAGGGTCCTAGTAAACAGACAGAGGAACAGACAGGGCAAGAATGTGATCTTATATGGGTACCTACCGTTTTTTTTTTCCTTTTGAGGTGCGGAACCCTAATGAAGCCATCGTTTAATGTGAAAGCAGTTTACAACACGATGCACTTCATACATGTATCTAAGCAAATTCTGATAATAATGATAAACAAATATTTTTAAATAATCTCACAAAAAAATTTACTGCTAGATGTTTAAACCAGATAAAAAAATAACGAAAAAGTCCACTCATCCCAACTGCAAACTTGACCGAGTAGAATACTTTTCTAGAAAAAAAAATGGATGCGTGTAACTTATGTACGCGCGTGAGAAGTTATACTTCTTTAGCATCATTAAAAATATTTTTTAATTGCATGCAAATAATTAATAATTACAATAAAATAATAAAAGGACTGGAAAAGGATAGTTAACACAGTCAATTAAGTTCAGTTTTAATTTGAAAAATTAAATAAATATTCAAAATATTCAATTAAAATCACTACTGAATTTAAGTTATTAGTCCACATGTAATTAGCACTTGTAAGTAACTAAAACACGTTGTGTCTATAAAGAAACTTGAAACATGTGGATAAATATTATAAATATGAAAACAGTGATCAGAGGCGACGAGCGTGCCAACATTGTTTTAGACAACGCGATCATCTTATGGAGCTCCGTGGATCGTTCAAAGTACCTTTCGAACCACCATAATCCACCATTATTAGACACTAACATACATAACGCGCCCGCGGCCAACTTCATGCTGTTACTTTTGGGTTACAGTGATGCGCGCGCATCTAAAAATTTCACTCTCATCATTTTTTCATAACGCGCCTAAAGAAGTATAACTTCAAAATCTTAAGATTACAATAATTTCAATTATTGCCGGCTGTAAGCATTGTTCGGTCTATGTTTTCGGTTCGCAGAAACGCAGTAGAGCGGCCGTCTATCCGCTCATCTTTGTTTTACAAACGGGCGGGAGAATCGCGCAACCTTCGATACTTAGCCGTGCTTAGGTACTTACCTACTCGGACACTCATTATTCATTTAAATAATTTCACCCACTTGGCCGCTACACCTATATCTCGCACGTTTAAATACGTTTATTTTGAAAACGTAACATAGATTTTAATGGGTAGTAATTAAAAACATTTCCTTTTAATATCATTTTTCGCTTCTGAAAATCTAAATTGCATTTATATTAATAAGTCAGCCACAATCAACACGCGTCTGATTAATACACCAAACCAATTACCAACTAGTTTATCTTCTATGAAAGCCATTGAAATTATAACTCACCATTAGAACATACATTATAACATGTATTCAAGCAGTTAAATTCTAAAATATTAATATATAGCACCAAAATAGTAAATAATTATATATATAAATAATTATAATAGATTCTAATTCTATAACTGAGGGAGAGAAAAGGAGAGGAATCTCCACCAACTCCTCTTCCCCACCAAAACAAATACATATAAGATTTTTCCAACACTAACGTAACCTAATCAAGTCATTTTTTTATTTAACAAGCGGCCCGCCCTCGCTTTGCTTCGGTGTAGAGCTGAAGTGTAGACTACAGTTTTAGTTCTCAGGCTTGTATTATACACAATGACATTCATCTATGATTCTTCTTATAACTGCATGCAAAGTCTCAGCCCGATCGGTTTAAAATTGACAAAGTTTCATACAAACTTTCATTCCCTATTTGATCCCCTTGGGGGTAGAATTGATCAAAATCCTTCATTCATAACATCTACCTGCATGCCAAATTTCAGCCCGATCCGTCCAGTGGTTTGGGCTGTGCGTTGATAGATCACTATGTCAGTCAGTCACCTTTGAGTTTTATATATAGATTTAATTTAAACTTTATGGTAATAAGAGGGAGTAGATAAATTACAAGGATCTTTTTTCTGCCGCTGACGCGGCAAGCTTGCATCGCTCGCCCAGCTCGCGCGTCACGATCACAACTTTAAAGATCACGATCAAAATTAAAGTGAAGTGTCACTTTTAGACGTCATAGCTTCTTAACTTTTTATGAAAACCTTAAATTTAATAACAGATTAAACATTTGCAATACAAACGCACGAACGACAAATAAGGCTGTAAGGTAAATAAGTCGCTGTCATCTCGCGTACTCGCGCCATATCTTGCAGTGGCTATTTTCTCGATAAATGGCTGAAAATGTTATTGCTGATTATTTTGTAAATAAGTCGACTGTTGTTCCCACGTATAGTAACATTAAACGATGTTTAACCAACTGCGTCTGGTAGTACAGTCAATCTGTCGAAAAAAATATCGTTTCAGTGAAAAAAAAACCTAAAGGGTAAGTCTTGTTTTTTCTGTTGCCAAATGACGTCAGTAAGCCACCTTGACGATGGGCATGTTCAACTCGTAGGCGTTTTTTGAAAAACTCAAAAAAACCGTCAAAAATTTTTTGAAACGCATTTTTCTTGTTTTGTATGCATTATAGAAACTTTTTTTCGACCATAATTGTATAGGGCGTTGAGTGCTACAACTTATGTCATTGTTGCAATCTCGTGCAACAAAAAATGCGCATTGTAGGTGGCGCTAAAGTCTCAAAAAAGTGTTTTTTCACTTTTTCACCCTGAAAAAACATTTTAATGAAAAACTTTAAATGGCAAAGTTGTTTCGTACATAATTACCAACAACTTTTGTATAAAGATTTTTTTTGTATTACTTACCGTTTTCAAGTTCTAAATTGGGCTGGTATGAAAAATCCAATAGAGCGGTTTTGGGCAGTTCAAGTACACATTTGCAGTGCACATTTCAATGTACGTTTTATGGTCGGTGGTACCCTCTACAATTATGGTCGAAAAAAAGTTTCTAAAATGCATACAAAACAAGAAAAATGCGTTTCAAAAAATTTTTGACGGATTTTTTGAGTTTTTCGAAAAACGCCTACGAGTTGAACATGCCCATCGCCAAGGTGGCTTACTGACGTCATTTGGCAACAGAAAAAACAAGACTTACCCTTTAGGTTTTTTTTTCACCATTCAACCTACAGATTGACTGTACTATGGTGGACGCTACACCTATTAAGCTGCATACGGATAGCGCGTTCCGTAGTCGGCTACGCGTTCCCTGAAACGCCACATAAATTCGAAACCTACAGCTACGAGTAGCATCCATTGTCCGCCTCCGACTCCTCCCACACAGGGCACAAACACCAACACTACACAGCTAGCATACTTGGACACTAGCTTAGCATTAGGCAGACACCGCACCCGTAGGATAAGAGTACGAAGACCCGGTCTACACACGACACTCTATACCAGGTACAGGTACGTACCTGGGCGTTTTTCCCCGCCCCCCACAACAACGGCTAACTAGAGCCCAGGTCCGAGTCTCAGAGTCGCCCTCTAGTTGAGCCGACCCCCTCAGGTTCGAGTGGTCCTCTGCGGTGGAGCGGTGGAGCCTCTACTCCAGACGGAGAGGAGACTCCCCCCGTGGGAAGATGCCACTCGCTAATTCTCGGCTTGAGGTCCCCTAAGGTTCTCGCCGTCCCCAAACCCAGTGACGCTGTAAAGGTCATCTGCAACCAACAGCATATACACTAAAAAAAAAACAATCCATTGTCATGTGTACGTATATCGCGTTCCATTCCGAGGCACGTGCT